TCTCTCTCTCTCTCTCTCTCTCTCTCTCTCTCTCTCTCTCTCTCTCTCTCTCTCTCTCTCTCTCTCTCTCTCTCTCTCTCTCTCTCTTCGGTCTGCCTTCTCTCGTTCTTTCTTTTGTTGGCTACTCCAAACACACAACCCTCGATTCAATCTCAAAAGCAAGACGCAGAGATATCCATGATCAAATAGCATTTCTCCCAAACTCTCCTTCCTTGACTCTGCCAACAGTACTGATCCAATTCCAATGCACAATTAAAAAAAGCAACACCATATCCCCTCTCCCTTTCTTCCTTTCCCACTGCCTTGTTTACAGTCTACCTTTCTATTTCTGCTTTCAGTTTCTGCCACTTACACATCAACATGGCTGTCTGTACGTAATCCATAAGCAAATAGCCTGCCGTTCTCACTTCTTTTTACAAGTTCTCACCTCCTGGCTTCCTCTGGCTCTTCCATTCACACAATGCCCTTGACTTACAAATTCGCAACGGTAAGTCCGCCATTCCCATGATCTAATTAGCTAGGCTGGGCGGGGGGGGTATCGCCCGGCAAAACCAGGCAGGTCAAAAAAGAGGGAAGGATCCCCCAAAAAAGAAACTGACTTCACGCCAGGAATGCGCTCGGCCTGAGCAGTCAGAATCTGGTCTTCCTTCCATTTCGGTGGTGGGTCACCCAGGAATGTTTGGGGGGTATATATTATAAAGTTACTCTAAACAGTGACGAGAGGGGTTTAAAAGGGTATATCTTACCTCATTTCTCATCATTTATTTTTATCTTAAAATTAATAAGGAATTTTGAGGGGACCCTCAGCCAAAAGTTGCTTGAATTGCAATTTTACACAACATATTTATTCTCCAGATTTTTTTGAATTTTTTATTTTTTTATATAATGCGTTGAGGCTGCCCGGGCCCCTGCCCGGACCCTGCCTGCCCCGGGCCGCCCGGGAGGGTACTCGGGCGACCTTCCCCCAGCTGGGCGCATGGGGACCAGCCTAGCTAATTAGGCTAATTGCCCAAAATACGTTTCAGTGGTTGCAATCTCTTCCTTCCTACTTTTGCACATGTTCTTTGGCCATTCTCAAATACCTGCAAACGTCCACTTCAGATTTATTCTCAAGCAAAGACTTTTGCAGCCCCCACAATCCCATAGCTCATAAATGCCGATCTCCGGACATGAAAGGCAGTGTGACAGTGACTATACCGTGCACAGAACACAAAAGCACAAGCAAAATCCGGCCATCCAGATCCCATGACACCACCTGAGACGAGTACATTAGCTCCTCATGCAACTTCATATTTTCATCTACTGCCGCTGACAAAACTTCGGAGTCACAAATAGACAGATGACCACCTTGATTACAGAAAACCACAGTTACGAACCATTGCCGGGTAAGGGGGAAAGGTGCTGCCAATTCAAACAGGAGGTAGGGACTAGTTGTATGAAATCCCGCTTGTGAGGACACTTGCACAATCCACTGCAAGTACAGCAGACTACCATAAGTCAGTACCTCAAAGCCCTCTGCTGAGGACAGAGCCCTTCTCAGCCCTTCATCTGACATGCTCTTGAGCAGAGCCGCTTCTGCAGCCACTTGCACTTCTGCCAGATTCAGTATTCTGTTCGCTGAAGTTGTTGCCCCTGAGCGTGCAAACACTGGGCTGCCAAGCAACCCTCCATCTCCTCTTCCTCCCGGAGAGCTTGGTGCTGATCGCACACAGATACTAGAGCCGCCTGAAGAGCTTGGATAACCTCCTTGGGGACTTCCAGTGGAGAAACTGAAATGCACCGTGACAAAACACATTCCTCAGAACGAGCTTTGGGCAATCTGCTCCTATTGCTAGAATGAAAATAGCTAAATGCACACCAAAATCTGAAGCTGCCTTACAACAATCTCCCTTCATCACTCAGTCAACAACGTGAAGTACTGCTGCTACTATGCCCAAGCTTGACTTCTGCCAACAACTGACCTGCCAGGTGACTGACTGGTACATACTACTATTGAGCAACAAGTTCAGCATCCAAAACCTGTTGGATACAATACTGTTATGGAATACAACTCTTTCTCCCACCCTCAGCCCATGAGTCCTGCCCGCAGAGAGAGAGCCACCACTTGTTCTGAGGAGCACCCCACATGCACATTATTTACACTCTCCATTTATCGTCCAACCACGGCGTCGATTGATCCACCACTACCTCGTGGAAAATCTGTTTAGGCAAACCATCCCTTCACAACATCATCGGCGAAATTGGATGTAGGGTCATTGAAAACTGTTTTGTACATTCTCTTTTCGATTCGCCACAAATGACATTGCAATCCCTTTTGCACAACCTCTACGATACCCTTCAGCAGCAAGCACTTCCAGGAAACAGGCGCGCAGACGAAATATCACAGGTCACACTAGTTTTTAGGAGCACCCTGGATGCACATCATTAACTCACTCTATTTCTCTTGCAGTCGAGGCATCAATTAGCCCGCCACTGCCTCCTGGAAAATTAGATGGAAGGAAAATTCTGAGAAAAACAGTGATGTAAGGAGCTGCAAAAACACGGACTGAGAACACAGCTGATTTCTGAGTTTTGCCACTGGAATGTATGCCTTGCTGAGATTCCCGCGTTCTGCTGAGTTTTCTAAGTCTGTGTGTGTGCATGCTTGCTGGTCCATGTGCCTGTCTGAGTGCTTGTCGGTCTGAGCCGTGACTTTGGGGGTTGCAGCGGGGAAAAACACTCAAATGGCCGAAGGGGTAGCTTAGGGCACACTCAAGAAGCGTAGTGTTGGTACCTGTAGTACTTTACTGGTGGATCGAGCAGAAGAGGAGAAAAAGTTAGTACCTTTAGGGGTAGAAGTCCGGTAGCGTAGGTCTAGGGCCTGTAGAGGTACATATCAGGTCTGCAATGATGTTTCGCTATGAAACAGAGGTACTGGTTGCTTGGGAAGCCAAGCGGCCTGGAAGCCACTGCCCAAGAGGGTGGTAGGCCGCTATATTTCCAAGATACTTACCTGGCTACGGTGGACGCCATCATCATCTCCTTGGTAGGTGCTGCATCTGGAAGGCCCTGTTGGGGTATCGCCACATCAAGAAGGCTTCAAGACAGTGTCAGGCATGTCGGCCTGACAGAGCTGCTTTTGCATTGTGTTTTGAACATCCGGCAAGGCCCCTTAGTATTCCGCCATAGTCCAGACCTGTCGGAGGTGGAGGACGAAGGATGTCATTGCTATGGTAGTCCTCATATTGTGCTGGCAGTAGAAGAGGGATTAGGACATTGGTTCTGGTTCAGCCATTCATCATTATTATTATTATTTATTGTTTGAATAAGAGAGGCGGAGATACGGAAGAGTTGGTTGGTAAGAGAAGGGAGAATTGTCATTGGCCTTCGCTGAAGTACATCGTCTTCGTCTTCTTTGGTCTCTCTCTCCTCTCAAGTTCATTCATTTCCTTTTGCAATTGGACGATATTGTATTTCCTTGTGTATTTGCACTTCCTAATTGGCCAGGATCGTAACAGCGATAATCTGTGATATAATGATACTTCCATACTGTCACATATCTATCAACTGAAAGACTGCACGTTGTGAAAAAAACGATAAAAATACAGAAGACAAACTTGAAGAGGACACTGAAACCATTCTTTCGATTGTTTCTTCTTCTAGTTTACTGTGCCTCTTGTGTGTGAGGCTTGCCACGTTGATGAAGGTGAGTGTGACCTGCCTGCATTATATAGGCTTGCCACGTTCACGAGCATGCACAATTGAAGTTCGTTGAAAATGAAGTACGGGGGAGGCAAATGATGAGAGAACAACGAGTGAGGCATATTGGGGTAATACAGAACTGTAATAGGGATGGCACTCCGATATAACAGAAGCAATATGATCACACCTGCGATTGGACATTGAAATCTCTCCCGAGCTCCCTATAGATACAGATGCTCTGCGCCTGTTTGCCTCATGGACCAGATTTGCTGGTGCAAGTGGAAGCTCTGCCTTTACATTTCCTTCATTCCTATCTGTGGTTGCTTCGTCCAAGGACTCCTGCAATAAGCAAACCATTAAGAGATAGGTCAAGGATTGCAATATCATTCTTAAAGTGCACTACTAATTGCACTGCAGGCTTCAACTTCCACGATCCTCCCCTCAATTTCAAACTTCAAATCGATCAATCAACAATCGACCAATTGCAATCTCTCTCTCTCTCTCTCTC